TGTAAGGGAAACTCAGGATCTGGGATGCACTTCCGCAAAGGGTTAAGCTATAGAGGTACTGAACACCCTCAACTTCCACCCAAATCAGTGGAAGTGGAAAGATTTCTAGGGTGTCCCTCAGCAGACTCAATCACCATTAGATTTTCTTCTGCAGTTGTGCATGTGCTACTTTTTTGACAGCTGCAAACTGATGTTTAGGGAAACACCTGGAAGGCTTCAGAGCACTCTGTTACAGCAAAAAAAAAGAACAGTTCTTGATATCAGATAGAGATTTAATTGGATGAGAAATAACTTTACAGTGAACATCATGGGAAGCTCTTTTCAAAGCTTGCATCTTAATTAAAAGAAAACTCTTCTTTTTCAGTATACTCCCTTCATGTCTTTTACATGAGTATAATGAAAAACTGAAAATTCACACAGTAGCTCTGGGAAATGAAAACCAGTAATATTTATGCCTTTCTGGAAAAGGCAGAAGTCAAACATCTATGTGTATAGAAGGAATCTGCTTCATAAGGTTTAGAAATACAAACCTTGTGAACTCAAAAAAAGGAACAAATAACACAATTGAAAAGGTGGAATGTCTCTTCGTACAGCTCATGACCCTAGGAGTTTAGTAATACTTTGATCCATTTATAATCTAATATTTAAAACATTTATGCATTAATGGTTGTGACAGCTAAACTCTTATGTTTTACATATACTTATTAAAATTGCATGTATTGAACATCCATCTCCAGGGATTCTCAGAGAATTTTACAGATACAAATTTACTAATCTTCCTCCCATTCCACAAAGTACTTGAATACCTGTATCCCATTAACAGAGGAAAAAAAAAATAAAACAGGACATAAAACAGACTCCTCCTATTTCTACTGAATTCACTGGCAATCCAGAACAGTATGAGGCCCTACTTACTTGCTGAAAATTATACTGAACAATTGTGCTAGGGATGTGACCAAATAGTTGCATTCCAACTCTATATTTTGATCAGTGACATCTTCTCCTTTTTTACAGAAATAAAATTCCTCCCTGAATCACATAAAATTATTATCCAATATATACAGCCACCACCAATCTGTCTCTTAATTTAGGGTCCATTTTTCCTTAGGGAACTATAAACCCAAATACATTTATGGAAAAATAATTCAGGGAATGTAAGATGAAATACCAGTTCTTTTTTAACAAATTTATCCCACTCTGGAATGATTTGAATCAATACATATAGTAGACTAATAAGGATAAATTATGGATACTAAACTGTTCTTCAAGAATTATTGTTCTAAACAGCAGGGCAATACATATGTTAAGCAAGATCTAATGACTGACACTTTAATGTGAGAAGAAACATCCAATCAAATATCAAATATTAAAAATTAGGCAGGAGATAGTGATTACAGTATACTCTTCCCTGTGCTCGAGGGTTTTAACCACCAATATTTCAAGGAGAATTTGACATTCAGAAGAGAAAAAAGAGGGAAATCCCATTTTCCAGTTTTATGCATATATGAAATGGTGCTGCTAAACTGACTTAATTGTGGAATAAAACTGCTACCTCTGGGGAAAATGCAGATCATCTAAACATAGTTCTATTGGCACAACACATCTATTCTGACTTTGCTGGTACAAAATATCTTTATTTAAGTAAATCTTCAGTATCTTTGATTTTTACTAAGTTAAGGAAGGTTAATTCCTTAGTGCTTGTTGAACCCAAAAGAACATATAAGTGCCACTCCCAAAAGACCTCACTAGTGTTATGTCACCCAAATCAGATCTTTAACACTTAACAAGACTTGCCTTGGGAGAAATAAGGACAAACAAATCCAGTGTCACCACTGAGCCTATTCTAGACAGAAATGTGTCATAAATTAATCATACAAGCAAACTCCTGTACCTCAGCTGGAACAGAATACGGTTTTTTCTTAAAAGGATGCCACAATCCCTATGGGACTTCCAGGCTATTAATGTCTCTACTCACAAACGATGTTCAGCATTCTAAGGGGATATGGAAAATGCCAAAGCAAGTCCCCTCAAGAGATGCAAGGTCAGAAATGAAAATATTTGCAAAACAATAAACCCACAGGAAACTAAACCTTTTTCCAAGCTGTCAAGCAGAGAAACGAAAAACAATACAGCTCTGTGAAAGCAAATGGCCCTATGCTGAGAGGAGAGCACCCAACAGCTGTTCTTTTGCCTAAAGAACTCAGTGCTGTGTGAGTGCCAATTAAGACATGGGGAGGACAGTTTCACAAGGACTTTTAACCATTCTTTGAGATCCCTGACCTTAGCAGGCTCTGAAGAACTATTCCATCCAGTTCACTGTCTTGGTCTTAGTTTAATTGACCACATGGGAGGAATATGTGTGTGCCTGTACTTCATCAGCTGATCAGGACTCTGAGAAAGCACTCCACCTTTGTGTGGTCCACAGGGGACTGGGAAGAAGAAGAGAAGGTTCATATAATGGTTTCCACAAAAAAAATTAGGATTAGGGGAACTGGACAGAAGAGATTTGGTCTTTGCCCTGTGAAAGTAAGAGAAATGCTGGGCTCCTGAACAAAATAAAATGAGCCATTTGCTTATGGTTCCATTGATCAGGGGAATGTAGACAATGGGGTGGAAAGGCCTGGGCTATTTTTGTTGTGACTTCATTGCTCAAACAAGAAATTATGGGTACCTCCGATCTCACCAAGCAGGGCTGTTTGCAGCTTTGTAAGTAGCTGACAATATAAGAGAATTAAAAGAAAAAAAGGAATGGAGCTCACCAAACAGAAAATGCTGTGGACAGGTGGGAAAGGTCCCACTGCCTTTGCTGTGGTACTGCCAGGTGTAGCTCTGTGCAAAGCCTGGCAGCTGATTCTGTCGTTTCTAGGGGTTTTTGTCTCCCCATGTTCCATCAACATGCAGCAGAACTATCTTCTAGGCATGTACCACAAGCTCTGTTTTTTGGCTCCTGCAAGCAAAAAGGAACAAGAGTATTTTACATGCTGCAAGTATCGAAATTAGTGAGTTCACTAGGAAGAAAGAAAAAGAAAAACAGAGAGAAAGAGGCAATCCCTATGGAAACAAAGCTTTAACTCCACTAACACTAGTGGAGTGAGTCAGACAGACACTGTGACCACTTATAAAGCAGGGCCAAAGAATCCCAAAGGCAAGTGCCTCTGACACGATGAAAAGCTCAAGCAGAGGAGAAAACAGCTCTCAAATTGGATTTTGCACATCTAAGCCTGGGAATAGTGCAACCAGTTCTCTAGTTCACTGGCAAAGGCTGTGGTGCAGCCCTTCATTATCAACCTCTTCCAAAAGTGTCAGAAACAAGCACACCCTGAGAGATAGAGAGGGGTAGAATGGTGCATGAGCTAAAATACATGTTCTACTGTCAAAATATGACATCACTGTTATAAACACCAAATTAGAACTGTAATGCTCAAAACTGAACTGTTGCTGCTCTAGAAAATTATGAAACAACAAAAATGCTGTGACAAAAGAGTAACAACCTGAACATTGTTTTGGGATATTTGCTGTGTATGCAGAGTCCTATATCTGTTCTGGGATGTGTATGTTCTCTCTTTCAGGTGATTTATCGTGCCTTAAGTCCGGCTAACAAGATTGAGGACCCCTATAGTCCTGAGGCTCAAGATCTCCTGAAACTCACCAACCTCCGCCTCCTTTTGTTAAAAAGACAGGAATGTCCATGCCATGGTTCAGGATTGGTAGAGAAACCTCAGAGGTTTGCCCACTATGCTATTTATGACCTAATCGTCCGGGGAAGCTGCTTTTGCAATGGGCACGCAGAGGAATGTGAGCTGGTCAACAGGACGGGAGTCGTGGAGAACATGGTGAGTTCTAGACAGTCACCAACCACCTAAACTTGCTACTTGCTTCTGCTGTCTCAGCCTGACTGTATATTTTGTGTATGACCCTGTCCCAGCTTCCCTAAGCCTATCTAAGGAAAGGGCATCGCTGTCAATCCACATTAGCGAAACCTACACCACTCTAGGAAAATATTTCCTATAATCCTTTCTGCAGTTCCATGTATATTAATTTCATTGCTAAAAACTTTGGACTCAAGATACCTTTAAGTTGGAAAGGGCCTTTGTAATTGGAACAGAGATCCAACCCCAAATATAGTGAATGAAATCTCCTACCTATATGACTACACAGAACTGAACGAATATCTTTAATACAAAATCTGCCCTGGCCAGAATTTCAGTGTCAGATTTCAAATTGCAGATTTTCTAAGTTTGTGAGACATGAGCAGTTCTGTCATACTTAGGGTATCAGCCTTCACTCATAGGTTTTCAACCTTCTGTGTTCTTGTTACTTTCACTACATAGACAGCAGTGTTCAGGATGTGAAAATAACTTCCATGCCCCCACTCTTTTATCCCTGTATCTTTAAATCAGGTAGAATATTTTTTTAAAGTAAAATTATTCTATAGTAATGTGACTAGCCCTATGAGCTTATTCTTTTATATGTGTTTGACCCCGGATGTGCAGAAGATGGGAGGTGTGTTTGTAAGCACACTAAGAAGTTTCAATTCAGAGGGAATGACTGCTGTCTCCTTTTTGATTTAGCTGCAAGGATTATGTAGAGAACTGTAATAACAGTCACAGGAAGATTAAGATAATCAAATATCCAGGTACATCTAAACACATACATCACGGACAGAATTCAACTCACTTTAAACTAGTCAATGGCTCCACTGGTTCCAGAAGGCTGTCTGTCTCTGTGTTGGGTTTTGAAAACCCAAATAACCCTTAGAACTTTAGTCCCTGGTGCACTCTGACATAATAGACTCAAGAAAAACATCCTAAGATAATTTCTGTCCCTTTAGATATACGGTACACTTGATATTTTGGAGTATTTTACTTCGGAATGTGTATTCTTTGTCTTCCTTTCAACTTTTCTAGGTTCAGAGGTAGATATTGTAAGATAATCAGAACTGTATGGCCTTCACAATATTTTCAAAATCATTCTGAATCTCTTCCATCTGTGGGATAATTTCAAGATTCAGCTACACTAGGTGATACTATCAGATTCAGATAATGTAGACTCACTTTAATCATAACTGTGTTGAGAAAAGCTGTTTAAAGAGTGCATCCTCCCTACTGCAAACTGTTAAATATACACATAGGGAAATCAAATAGATGAATAACATGCTAAATGGATACAGCTGGTAGAAAAATAAACATTCTGCCCCTCCGAAAAGGAAAACACAATATTGTGTATATCACTGGCATAAGCACTGTAAACTATGACTGGATATTTTTTCCCACTGGTCACAAGGGAATAGAATCTTCTTGTGCCATCAATGACTTCAGAGGGCAGAAGGTGAAATAGTTTTGAAGAACTGCACTTCATGAGTGACTCATGTCCCAGGGGACAAGAGGGTGGATGTAGCACATGATTCGCACAGCCTTTGCCTAAGCAAGTCTTTGCCTAAGCAGGGATTCAAACAGAGTAAAAAGTAAGAAAAGCTTTCCAGAGTTTTAACTGCCTCTAGAATCCTAGATAAGGCCTGGAAAAGACCATAAGTGAACAGTTTTGAGTCCTCACATAAGGGTATGATCAAGCACACCTAAACCATTCAGTAGTAGATGGTTGTTGAACTAGATTTTTAAAATTTCTGATGAAGAGGATTCAAACCCTCAGTAGTTTCTGCAGTCTTGACATTTTGAAAGCTCTTCTTTAGTGCCTGCCTAAATAATCTCTGCTGCAAATCAAGGTGATTCCTTCTCGTCCCCTCTCCCTCAATGTCATGGAGAGCAGTTATTCCTCATTCTGCAGATATGATTGGAAAGTTCTCACCATGTCCTTCCTTAGGTTCTACTTTTTGTACTAACCAGAAAAGTGTGAAACCTTAGGTGGTCAAAATTTAATATTCTACACACAGCTCATAAAAGCCTGGAATAAAGATGATCATGGTACTGTGCTCCTCTTTTCCATGCTTTAGTCATGACACTCTAGCTCTTTCTCAAATACACAATGAAGAGCCAGGTTCCTGAATCCTTTTACACTTTATCTAATATTTACCAATGATGATATTGTAATGTTGAAGGGAGACTTCACATAGGTACAGATCTCAGGGTTTGGTTTACACAGGCAGCATGAGGGAGTTTATATGTGTAACTTTGCATCTTACAATACAGTAATCTCCTTGCCCACATGCAGGAGTAAAAGGCCTTTGTTGTTGAGGGGTGAACACCAACAACATAGTTTCTATCAGCCAAACAACATTGCAAAAAAATCATTGCCATTTTGCAATTTCTTGGCAGAGGGAAGGTGCTCTACCTTCAGTCACATGGTGACTGAAACAGGGTGTGGAAAAGAGCTATTAGAAACAAACACTGCACATCCAGAAATAATTTGATTTAATCTACTGGCCACATCTAATATTTAACGTACTCATGGGCCAAGAAAGTCTCAAGACACACAGTTTTTAATGTAGCTGGTGTGGGTGATGTCACAGAATGAAGGCAGAGCAGCTTCATGTTTCCTAGGCTGCTGTCAAGTAATTAAATAAGATGCTGGAAAAATACAGACCTCCACAGCAAGGCTTAAGTAATATGAGTTTCAGCCTCTTAAGAGTTCAAAGTCCTCCTATGATGCATTTGTCTTCAGTAGTTCACAAAACCAAAAGCAATTTCATGTAGAAAACAACTGTAATTGTTTGCCATGGGATAGGCCCAAAATCTGAGATCATTCTGCACTTCGGTCTTGAAAAAGACATGACTGTGCTGACTTGCACGTCTGCTCTTCTTACTTGTGACAGAAATTCTGTTCCAGTTGTAATACTTCTAACACTGCTAGACCATAGGCTAAATAATGCAAAAAACTAAAGCTAATTTCTTGACATTTTTGAACCAACCCTTTTCAACACCATTTTTTGGGGGACTGGATGATCTATGATTACGAGATGATCTGCCAGTGATCATTTTATCTGTGGGTCTGTCAGTTCAGCTGTGACAACCCAGTCAGTGTCTGGCTTCTCTGCTGAGGCTGCCAGTATGAAATGCAGCTCTAAGAGAAGAAATGTCACAGATGCCCCAGTGTCATAGCAACAAATGAATACAAGAAAACTGAAGATGGTAAAACCAACATCCAAATGGTGCATCATTCCTCATAGCTTGAAATCCTGCATAGTTTCATGCATATTTTCTCTGGTCACAAGTTTGTGAAAATACAGTGAGATTCAAAGTAGACCCATAGGATCCAATGAAAATGTTCTCTGACTTCTTTTTTTTGGCAGCAAAGCAGTAATAACTACTCTATCAATGTGGCTTTTTTTAAAAAAAAACAACAAACCATGCACCCACCTCTACACAATTTATCTAGATCACATTTTCCTTATGAAATACTGAAAATATCATGTCAGACAGGAGGAAAACTTTGAGAAATGAAGATGGGAGCTGTAAATAATAGGCAAGAAACTTCTAGACAAACATATCTTGAATTTGGGGTTTGTTGCTATTGACAGTGATGTTTTCCTGGTTTCTATTTACCTTTCCTCAGACCAAAAAAAAGACAGTGATGTCATTCTACCTAACTTAAATAGTTTCTTCTGGTAGCTAAGAACACAATTCTCCTTTATGAATGTCTCAGCCTGCGTTATTCAAACTCTTTCAAGTAGCTTCTCTGTCAGTAAGGGAAATTATTGAGATTGCATTTTGCCACAGAAAACTACAGAGCAGCATTTACTTTTAAATGGAGGGCACCAATATGCTAGGACCTGGCCACCTGAATACATGTACTCTTCTACAGTTGGATGCAAAGGAACATAATCCTGTTCCATGTATTGCTGTTGTAGGATGCACAGAGTTATGTGTTACTCTACAGTAAATTATTTCTTTATCAAGTTCCAACAAAGATAGTAAGAGCTGTCAGGTTTAGGATCTGCTTTGATGACACATTTTAGCTGAGCCCAGAGATGCTTCCAGAACAAAGTTTACAAAGCAAAAATTGCACATGGACAGAACACAGAATCTAGACCAAAGTCCTTTTTGTTTACCAAACATGTCACAATTCTCTGCCTAGTCCATGAGAAGTAAGTATGGACAGAGGAAAGTGAATGTGGATTAAAATGTTTTTGTATAAAGAATTAGTTGGTTTTTTTTTTTACTTGTTAATTATTGGTACCTACACTGCCAGGAAATTCTTACGAGTGGCCTCGGATGTTTCTTTTGCCTCTTTATCCTGTTTACAGAGACAAACTAGACTCCCTGTGGGTCTGATCCTCCACAGTGAAGCAAATGGAAAGTTTTCCACTTAGTTCAAAGGGAGCAGGATCTGGTTCTAAGTAGGATTCCTTGTTTGGTATAATGGAAGTTACATAAGGTAAAACTTGTTTTTCTGCATCAATTTTCTAGGTGACTTGGCACTTGTAACCCTTGCAAATATTATCTATCTCCTCTTCAGATATCTTGTGCAGTTCTACTGATAATCCCCAGCTAAGTTTTCACATTATCTGATCCAAACTGTGCCAGTCTGTATGATGTCCAGCACTCAGAGATGCAGGAGGTGCTCTCTGTTGTAGTTGGCAGCTTAAAGAGTATGTTTTATGCACAAAGTTACCTGTGTGCATCAACTATGGGAGTAGGTTCAGGAATGTAAAAAAAAAAAAAAAAAAAAAAAAAAGGTTCCAAGAGCTTCTAGATCACATCAGAATAAAATCTAAAACCAGATCCCTGCACTGATTGTTTCCAAAAATTAAAACTGAATATGGACTTCAAGCTATACCCATAATGATCTGGAAACATAGAAAATCATATAAATTATGCTAGCAAAAGGTAGTAATGAATTACATGAACTACATGGAAAGAAAGTGGTGTTGCTGCCA